CAAAACCTTCACATTATAAATTATGAAATATATGACAAAAATAAACGGTGTTTTTTTATTCAAAGAACATGTACTTAAACTCTATTACGTTATTATGTGTATTTTCAATCTTAAATTTCAGATCAGTTCCAACATGTTTATTTACTTTAGATAATATGGGCATTTATATCTTTTAACTAGTCATTTTATTAATATCATATTCAGTTTTTAAGCAAATGTACAGTAATGGACAATTTTTAATTATGATAAACGAATATTTAAACGTGGAAAGTAGAGAATAATAAGTAAAATGTTCCATTACAAAGATACAGGGCGTTAAACATTTCTTTAACACTGATGTTAAAGCATGAATTTTCAAAACTATTTCCGCTGCCGTAATATGACAAAAATGTCTGGAAGGAGGCAAATCTTGTAGAATTAAATATATTGATCAGCATTGTGCCCTGTGTTCTGAATTACAGAAGATCATACTTGTTGAACAGTGGACCAACTGTATCCCAAAACGTGAAACACGTGCTAGTATTTCTATAGCTCACTAACAATTTGGATTTCACATTTTTTTTGTGGCTTCATAGAAGACATTCAGAGTCGTGGATTAAAAAAAAAGCTATACCCGTCTTTCTTTGAGTTAAAGATAAGAAAGTTTATATCCGTAACTTAAAGCGCCTTCCTAACATAAAAAAAAAATAATGGTCATATTAACTTGGTGCTATCTAGTTGTATTGGATATGATAAAAGTACCTTGACATTTTGCAGTTTTATTTTGGTGTTAATATGTTGAAAATGATTTTTTATATGTCTTAAAACGGGATATACAATGCTTATAATTTTAAACGGGTCAATTTGGCAAGCTGAATATCATATTTAAGCAAAAGTGACGTTTGAAAATATCACGATAGAGTCATTTTGAGGCTCGTATATTCACTATCTTCACTAATCATTAAAATTAATCAATCAATATTCTTTCCAAGTATGTTAAAAATTAGGCGCGTTCCATTTAAGAAAAACATTGTTGAACCCCGTCTTTTGAACGGTATTTTATTGCACATCCAGAAATAAAAATTCAAAAAAACATGCAATACATAGTACTTTCTTGGCTTTTTGTATTTTCCCGGGTAAGGTATTTTTGGAAAAGGTCAACGTCAGGTCTTCAGTAACTTTTAGCAAGGAATTCAACGGTGACCTTGTATTTGACCTTGACCTTCAAGGTTGATTTACGGTCAACTATTTTTTTCACATTGAAACACACAAGGTCAGGATGACTACTAAAGGTCAAATGAAGGTCAAATGTGTACTGCTAGGCAAACCTCTATAAATTGCACAGAATGAGCCATGAAAATAACCATCAAGACGAACGCTAACCTTAGATTTGAACTTGACCTTCAAGGTGAACTTTTTTTTTAATGGAAAACAAAACATTTTACGTTCAAACACGGATTGAATACCAAGGTCAGGGTGCCATTTGAAGATCAAATGTGTGCTGCTAGGCAAAAATCTCACCGAATAGGTCGTTAAAATAACTCTCAAGGTCATGTCTGCAGTAAATTTTAACGAGGAAGCGAACGCTGACCTTGGATTTCACAAACAAGGTTAATTTACGGTCAACTTTATTTTTTCACGTAGAAACCCCTATTTTAGATGCCGGCAGTCAAAGAACAGAAAATTGTACGTTCAAACACAATTAAAGTTCAAGGTCAGGACGACTACTAAACGTCAAATCTGTGCTGCTATGAAAACCTCCATAAACCGCACAGGATCAGTGATGAAAATAACTGTCAATATCAAGGTCTATAGTAAATGTTGACGAGTGATCTTGGATTTCATCTTGAATGGTGAAGCTCAATTTCAGCTTATTAATTGGATCCATTTAAAAAATAATTGGCTAAGGACCTTTTCAAAAACATTTAACAAAATCGGGAGAAGCAGATATTTGGGAAGCTATTTCAAACGAATATTTTTTGTCCATCACTATACACATATAGAATAACGCTTTACAATAAATACCTTCACGAAGCTTTGAATAAATCCAATATGAAGGATACTTCAAATATTATATGACATATAGAAGAGAGGTATGTTACTGGTAAACATGAAGATGATTGTACTTGTACTATATCCAACATATTGTTTTATTGTATAAATTGATTGATACATTAATACTGTGTATATATTAATGATTACACAGAAAAAAATCGGCTGTGACCTGCTATTATCTCTACGAAAAGCAAAGTGTTTCAAGGGCCAGTAAAGGTACAACTTAAATCCACATTATATAAAAACAAATTCTCGAAACATCTTTAATATAACCATATAATTTAGATCAGCTGTAATTTGGCATTTTTTACAACCATCTTAAATTTGAAAAACATTTCATTCAAAGGGTAAAAAAGTTTTCTAAATATGTTCGTTATAAAACGCCGAATCCATCCAAAATTTTAGGAATAAAATTTTGAAAACAAAATTAACAATATTCAGTTCGTTTTCATTTTTTTATAACACCAATCATACATAGGAACATAGCATTTTCAAAAGTTCTAGCAAAAAGCTCGTTTTAAAGAACAAAAAATCCAAAGTGCGGATTTTTTCTCACCTAACGCACGATTTTTCAATTGCAGGTTAACTGTGACCAGCAGCTAACTCTCAAAACGTTTTAAGACGCCCAAAAACCCGACAGTCTAGAGATGGAAGCAGCAAGTTTACCAGAACCTAAAAAACGAATTTTAGAACAACTAATACAATCAGCGATTGAAAATTCGTGCCTTAGAAGAATAAAAATAATTTTTGATTCTCTAATTTTAAATCATAAACTAAGGCTAAGTAATTTACAGGATAGTATAAGGAAGAAAAATAAATTCTGGAAGTCAGGTAACAGCAGACGTAGAAGTGTGTTTTCCTTTCCTAAATTTCATTGGCAGTTACATATGGTAAGAAAATATCATATATTTAATCTGGTATCCCAAATACTATGAAATTTCCATCACATGTTAATGGATCTACCGCTAATTTTCTATTACCTTTTGCATCGTTTTTTGTTGTTGTCGCGCGGCCAATCATGATTTGTTTCTTTGATTAATGGGATCAAAAATTTAAAATACCGATAAAAGTACCCTGATGGGCTGAACTACTAAGTGTTTAGACGTGCGTACGTCTTTTGTAGATTTTTGAATCTATATCAATCATAAAAAATACGTAAACAGAAAACGCAATTTTCTCATTCTTCAACAAAGTTCTCAATGATTGTGCTTGCTTATTCGTGCAGGAATAGCCCCAAAGTTAAGAGTCTAGAGGTATGACATTACATGATCAGTCAAAAAATAGTGTGTATTACATTTCAAAAATACTTTTTTTACTTCGATAATAAGGATAAGGCAGAAAAGTTCATTGTTTCATCTGATGCTCGGTTGCAATGTTATGCTCAACCTCAAATTGAGTTGCTGTTGCTCCACTCCAATTTGGTGTACTGTAGACAAGCTGGTCAGTAAATGAATCGACTTAGATCAACTGTCTGTAAGTTCCACTGAAGTTTTGCTTAAAGTTGACCTTAGCAAGGCAGTAATAACCTGACATATGATAGACATCTCATGGTACACAAGATACCATTCTAAACGTCCTTATTGTGTTCAATGCATTTGAAGATTGCAGGTTATACATATGTAATAAATAAAGCGACGACCTTGAAACAACAAACAGTACAACAATTATACAATTTTAGCTTTCCAAGGAACATGAACAAAAATAACATTTGAGTTGTAAGTGTGACGACCTATGGAACTTGCAAAGTTATAAACACAACATCTAGCTTATAAAAACATTAAAAATGTAGGGTGTTACCGCAAAATATTGACGAAATTGTAACTTTTGTTTGATATTATGTGGTTTATCTTTCATCTCTTTTGCATTGCCAATAATTAAAAAATATACACTGGGCATCAAATACATAAACATATTAATCATAGATTTTGAGAAGGCTGTTTTCACAGCTCATACAACAGTTGTAACTCCTTGTTAAAAAATATGATAAAAAAGTTTCTATAATCATGGGACCAGAAACATGCAATAAAACGGTTTTTATTTTTTTTCTCGAAAACGATGTGAGATACGAAAAAAATACAAGAGGCAAAATAGTTGTATTTTTAGATGCTTAATCAAACAACAAATATTATATAGGTGGCAGTGGCGTACATTTTTTTGCCAGCAATATTCGCTAAGGTGCCCCCTGAGACGACACTGTACCTAATAATTTTAATTCCATTTAGGGCTAAATTAACCTCTCAATGCAACAAATAATGTTGCCAAATTTCAACAGAATCAAGTAAATACTTATTAAGAAATTAATAAAAAAAATATATTTTTTTTTAAATTTATCACCTGGTATCTTGAAAATTCTGCATTTCCAGACCCATGTTTATAGAAATTTATTTCACTTTTTTTAACAAGGAATCACCCCCTAAAATATCTAAGTCTATTTTTGAACAACCTGTATAGGAGTTATCCAAAAAACAATGGCGATATGTCTAGAGAAGAAACTTTATCCAAAATAAAGAAAGCACCTATACTGACATTAATATTGTTCAAATAATGTGCAGATTCTGAACACATTGTAAAATTGTTCACCCTGTAACTCAAAAAGGGAACATTTTAGGATCCCCCACTTTTGGTTCATTTTTTTATATTCTATCTGCTCTGTCTTATGAACCGCCCTCACTCTTGGCAAGTTTGAAGAACCAAGAACTGTAACATTATTTTGTTAGTGTTCTCATGTAATTATAACTTTATTCAGATTTTTCCAAATGAGTCACAGAATTCCACCGATAGTCTGCTGCAACACCCAAAATCCAAGGGCGAAATTCAGTGTGAATTAAAATGTTATTTGCAAAAATCAACAAATATGTATACATCGACATATCTATATATATAGAGAAAGGTTTTCTTAGTCAGTTAAGGCACTATACATAAACAGTATCACAATATTTGAAAGTTCAGATCTGTAGTTCATATCACTAGCTAGCGCGACTTTTCAGATGCCACCTACGAGGCCATGGCAAGGGCCAATTGAACTGCTTGGGCAACGGAGCGCTGACATTGCATTCAAAATAGTAAAAAATACCGAACCACCATTCGCGACTCAGCAAATTATTTGAAGAATATTGTTTGAGAACGCCGTTGTTGGCTAACGTATGGTAGGTCCAAAATATCCTGGTCGTGACATAGTAAGCTATGATCACGTCGACACTATAATGTCCGTGAGACATTTCAAGCATTATAACACCGATGCAAGCTGCGATCCAATAAAGCCAATGGACTAGATACAATTTTTTGGGCGTGTACTCGGATATTATTAAATAACTAAAAACTAATATTACTGTGTGTCCGCTATAGATGAAATCTCCACAGTAGGTGTGCTGACCGTTTACTGACAATCCAAAACCAGACATCAACTTCACTACACGCTTTGCTATGATCAGCGGGGAGGTTTCATTCAATTTCGGTGAACAAGGGTACGTTTTACTGGCAATAGGCAACACTGTCACGTACATGGTGATGGCACGGTACATGTACAACAGCGACATTATTAGAAATATCCTTCGGAATACGATCCATCGATGCTTGTGGAAGATCATGGTTATCATGCTGGTGTTGATACAGACGATAATGATGTATTCAGAGACATCTAAAGCCCAGTCGTATGCAGGTACATTGTCGAGGAACACATCTGGCAGAGGCCCGTACACATCTCGATCAGGAACACGCTCATGCACCAAACTGAGTGAAATCAGGGTCAAGACAAAGTTGAACATCATTATCACCGCGGCCAGAGCTGTCTTCCAACGTTCCTGAGGAAACCTAGGTTCTTCCCTTATCGGTGTGGGAAGGTCTATAGCTATATGTCCATTCCGCTCTCTGGATTTCGGTATGTCATCTTCATCATCATCGTAGTATTCCTTACCGGAAGAGCTGTGGGTGCTCAGTTCGAGACTGGTGGTTTTAGCTGGATTTGGCAAGAGTGGCTGTCTCTGGTACAGATATTCCTGCGTCATTTTCACCTCGTTCGAAGTACTTGACGGGTCCTCGTCCGAGTGCGGTGATAAGGTGCCTGATCTGGAGTTGACTATTCGGGAACTGTCTGGATGGATGCTCCCATAATCTACGAACTTGGATTCTATCATCCTCTTCCCATTCTCTCGTTTTCTGATTTCGAGATTGTCCACGAATTGAAAATCTTCCGGTTGTTCTAGTTTTTCGTAGTTTATTGTCGGTTCAGACAGCGCTGTGGTCCATGGCACCCGATTATGCACCTCCCTGTCCGGTTGCAGGCTGATATATCTTCTTAAACTGCAAGAACTGACTTCGCTTTCGTCTGCTTCGTACCCGCTACCTCCGTTGTTGGATTTCACCAGTAAATTGTTGTTATTCACGACTCTGTACTCGTGATCTTTGGATTGCGAGTCCGTCGTTGGTGTTTTGAACATATCACGATGGACAACAGCATCGCTGTCGAATGTCGAACTAGCAAAATACTCCGCCCGATCACCGACTCAGATGTAACACAAACCTTACATCTATAACACAAACACACCACTGAGATAAATCAACCATTTTACTGTGAAAATTCTATACACGTCATTTGACGTGAGTCACCCACTTGACATAACCTTCGTTTCGTCTTCTCGCAACGACGCGCGCGACGACGCAATTTAAATCTAGCAAAAAAAAACGGCAAAAGCTGAGGGTAAATGACACTTTCATTACTTCTTATCGCTATCAACTCATTTTATTCCGAACGAATAATAGATTTCATCCGTGAAACTATAATCAATTAAGAGAAAAACAAGATAATGAAAGTGGGTTTGTCCTCGATGTGTAGGCAACCAGTATTGCAGCGTGCGACTATACACAGGACCGTAATCAGAACACGTGTTACCGACAGAGACGTATTGAGATTTTTTAAGTTTGAAAATTGCTGTAAATTTGAATATGTGAAATTTCGCATATTTGCCTCCTGTACATACAAGGTGTTCAAAAAGATTCCGACCCTCCATCTCAGAAAATACTGACCGGGGAAAATAATGATCAAGGTAAAGGATTTTATTTAAGCAATCTAATATTGACCTTGACTTTGGATATACAATATGTGAAATTTCGTACATTTTCTTTCAATACACAAATTTCTGGTCGGCTTGTGGGGAATAGTTTTTCTCTATACTAGCGTTAAATTTTCATCGTATTCACTATTCTGATAATTTTGTTCACGGTAGATTAGTAGTCAGAATATTCGTTTTTCTATTTAAAAAATGCTCCATGCTGTTTTTACGGTCAGTAAATCTCAGTTGGCCATGATTAAGGATATGTCGACACTGATTCCCACAAGATTAATCGATCGCGCAAGCCGTATGAAACATTTTTGTAATAAATAAATGAATATTTCCAAATGCAAATTGCTCTTGTGAGTTGTACATGTCATCAAAATCATTGTAAAACCGTCTAACGTCAACTGATCGCTACAGTTCAGGAGCAGATCCCGAGCAGGTGTCCTGGCGGACCAACCGCCCCCCTCACCCGAGATATTCCAGGTTAAAACAATTCGAACATGAATCCCGGCACCCCCAAGCAGTTTTTTGAGTGAGTAATTTCTAATTCGTTATATGAGCCTTCGCGCTTGGTACAGTTGTTACTGGAAAATCCCGCTCATGTTCAACGAATTCAGAGTAGGTAGAAGGAGCCAGTCAAGGATTTGTTTCTCTTTTCATTCCCATTGTCTGTAGTGAGGATCACAGTGCACTTGACATAAGTCAATTTTTTGACAGTTCTGTCATTGAATTACTATTTTTTATGACTATGCCGTTTCCCGTGTAAGGTATTTCCATATCAGGCGTGACTTCTATGTGATAGGAAGCAACCGTTTCCTGATTATGGACACGGGCGTGACTTCCATACGGTAGGAAGCTACCGTTACCCCCTGCAAGGTATTTTCAAATCAGGCGTGACTTCCAGGCGGTAGGAAAATACCGTTCCCTGATCAAAGACACGTGCGTGACTTCCGTGAGGGAGGAAGCTACTGTTCCCCCGTGCAAGGTATTTCCATATCAGGCGTGACTGCCATGCGGTAGGAAGATACCGTTCCCCTGATCAAAGACACGGGCGGGACTTCCAGACGGTAGGAAGCTACCGCTTACCTGATCATGGACACGGGCGTGACTTCCATGCGGTAGGAAACTACCGTTCTCCCGTGCAAGGTACATCCATATCAGACGTGACTTTCATGCGGTAGGAAGCTACCGTTCTCCTGATCATGGACACTGGCGTGACTTCCATGCGGTAGGAAAATACCGTTCCCTGATCAAAGATACGGGCGTGACTTCCGTGAGGGAGGAAGCTATCGCTTTCCTGATCATGGACACGGGCGTGACTTACATGCGGTAGGAAACTACCGTTCTCCCGTGCAAGGTACATCCATATCAGACGTGATTTCCATGCGGTAGGAAGCTACCGTTCCCCTGTTCATGGACACGGGCGTGACTTCCATGCGGTAGGAAAATACCGTTCCCTGATCAAAGACACGGGTGTGACTTCCGTGAGGGAGGAAGCTATCGCTTTCCTGATCATGGACACGGGCGTGACTTCCATGCGGTAGGAAACTACCGTTCTCCCGTGCAAGGTACATCCATATCAGACGTGACTTTCATGCGGTAGAAAGCTACCGTTCTCGTGATCATGGACACTGGCGTGACTTCCAAGCGATGGGTAGCTAATGTTCCCCCGTGCGAGGTATTTCCATATCAGGCGTGACTTTCATTCGGTAGGAAGCTACCGTTCCCCCGTGCGAGGTATTTCCATATCAGGCGTGACTTTTATGCCGTATTAAGCAACCGTTTCCTGATTATGGACACGGGTGTGACTTCCATGCCATAGGAAGCTACAGTTCCATCGTACAAGGTACTTCCATATCAGGCGTTACTACAGTTCCCCTGATCATGGACACGGGCGTGACTTCCATGCTGTAAGAAGCTACCGTTCCCAGGGTATGGACACGGTTGTGACTTCCGTGCAGTAGGACGCTACCGTTCCACCATTCAATTTGTTTTAATATCTGATAATATAATTATTGAGAGATTTCGTGACCATTATTGCATTGATTTACGATCAATATCAAGACAGCTGATTAACATAATGAATAGACAGTAAAGTTGTGCATGTCATGAGTCGATAGAATATGGAAGGTACTCAAAAGGTTTTTGCCCAAAAATAAGCTCAAAAAGGAAGGACAACTCTCCTGCCGTTACGTCACCAAGTTAGTGGCTTTGAAATTATCCTGAAAAGGTGCGGGGTAGTACTCCCTACGCTTGTAAGGTGGGATTGTTGTTTTCTCATGTTTATCATTCCATCATCGTCTTATAATCGTTCAAATATTTCCATTCGGAAAATACTGTTTTTAAATTTTTAGTTCATCTTAATAACAGCTCGTTTTCAAACATGTTTTTTTTTTATTTTATTCATCTGCCTTCACATTGCTAGCCATGTAGCCGCAATCTTCCTCTAGTATATTATCCGTAGTTATTTGACGGAGTGTATCCTATCACCAGCCTATTTCGCTGGCTGCACTGTTTTTCTCGATCCGCTGTTAGTGTGTTGAGAAGCAGTGAAAGTCGAAGTTAACATTTAACTGTACAACCTGTTGCTGCAATACAAGTGCACTTTTGCCGCCACGCAAAGCGCGGATAGGTCATTATTTACCAATCGCGATGCTTAATTGTTATTCTTAGCCGCCAATAGGACAAATCCGAATAGCATGTAACGCTCGGACCTTGAGGAATAAGTGCTTTACGTATATTGCTTTTGTGGGTGTACCAGAGCTAGAACAGAATTTAAGATGTGAGTCAAGTACCACGCATAGAAAAACTTTGTATTTCATTTCGAATTATTAAGTTACCTACCTAATTGCGATAGCGATTGAACAATGACTTATTCAATTCAAGAAAGGGTACTAATAACAAAACTGTATTGCGAAAATGGGATCATTGCCCGAGCTACTGCCCGGTTGTTTAAAGCGTTACATCCAGGCAAAAATATTAACGATAAGTATGTGGCTTAGTTGATGAGAAAATTTGGAAAAACTGGATACTTCTTCAGAATTTACACGCTCAACAGAACAAAGTATTCTGAAAGACAATAAAGTTCACCCGTACAAGATAAAACTTGTCAATGAGCTTAATCAAGACCAAATTATTAGATGATTTTTAATTACATGCTTTTTGTCAGTTTATCTTCAGTACTTTTATATTTAAACATAAATGTTATGGTATTTTATTCATGAGATTTATTATAAACTTCCAATTTACTTTTATTTTTAACTGACACCCGAGTGTAAACAAGTACAAACCTGTTTCAGTCGCGTTTACACGTATTTCTGTGGCTTGATGATAGCATGCCTGGCAAAATTAAAGCTCTCATAACAGCTGAAGGTGGCTCTACAAAATATTAAATTTAAAAAGTTAATTTCAATTTTTGTTCAATATGTTTTCTATAATAATGATGTTTTCTTTGTGTTAACAAAACGTTTATTATTGCATGGAGATAAATTGGCACCTCTTTCAGCACTTATTACCACATTGACCTACTTCTTTATAGCAAATTAATTTTTACTTTAACCTTAATATGCGTAATAACTGCACGTTGTTTTTTCTTCTTTTAATACTCGGAGAGTTGTTTTTAATTTTAAAGTAAAGTCTTGTTACTATGGGAACTATACTGATTACACTGATCAACAGCCAAAAAATATCCAAAATAAAATCAACAAAATATC